ACTCTGTGCGGTTTTGGCTCAACTGAAAGGAAGAAACTCAACTCAACTAGTAACTTGCTGTTGGTTAGAACTTGTTCCTGTGAGTCAGATGAATTGTGGACATTCTCCTTCAAACTTAATCTCGACATTTTCGATGGGGTACTTGAAGTAAGCATATGCAGGTGGAAGTTTTTCACCCGCTCTGCCCTTTCCTGTCAGTTTTTTCGTTTACTGCGAAGCCAAATTTGCAATTACATACTCCTTGACGGCTTGGAATGCAGCAGCTGAATTTGCCGCAGCTCCCATCTGTACGTGCCTTTCTTTTTATTCTTCGTCACTCAGCTGAATTTCTAGGAAGAGAAGCTTTCCTTTTTTATTCATTCCATAAAACAATTTGTATTCAATTAAATATGTAATAGGCGTATAGCAATAAAACTGCCTAAAGCGGTGTTCGTAAGAACTATGTAGCCCCTCCCCCCTAGTTCCAATTCACGCCTATGAAAAGCCGTAAGAGATCATTTTCATTGCTCCATTGGCTCTTTTATAAGATCTATCTATATGGGTGTCCTGAATGGGTCAACACCCTTTTTGATGGCCCTCCAATTTATGACGCGACCGAACTTCGTCGCGTCCAAAGAACAGCGTTGAAGTATTCGAGTGGTGGCCCGACAGCCCCTACGGATTTGATTATGCTGGCTTTTTTGAACTCTATTTTTCTTTTTTCTCATTTTTTGGCACAAAATTTTGATTATTAGCGAAAACTATTCAAGGGCGGTCAATATCTAGCCTACTCGATGATTTTTGAAACAAGCAGGAAATTTTCACCCCTGGAAGCTTCCGTGCCGTAGACCTATTCTTGTCCTTCGGAATCCGAGAAATTTCTAAATTTCAGGAAAATCGTCGTGGTCTTTCAACATTCCCGCAAAATGTAACCCATTACCCACGCGAGGCTCAGCCCATGACATTAACAATCTCCCATCTAATGACTCGACTTTGAGTCGCAGGAAAGATACTACTCTCTTTCTAATTTTTGTAAACAACTCGGCCTTCGAGAGCCTTAGGCTTTTCCCTACGAATGTCTATCATGGAAATACACAAAGCCCTATCTGCTTGTTCTTTTGCAGTGTATAACTTAGAAAATTGGGTAAAAAGTGGGTCCCACGTACTGCTCTTTCAGCTCTACTCTCTTTCTAATTTTTGTAAACAACTCGGCCTTCGAGAGCCTTAGGCTTTTCCCTACGAATGTCTATCATGGAAATACACAAAGCCCTATCTGCTTGTTCTTTTGCAGTGTATAACTTAGAAAATTGGGTAAAAAGTGGGTCCCACGTACTGCTCTTTCAGCTCAGAGTTCACGGTGAAGGGGGCGTCAGCTGAAGTACTACTCTCTTTCTAATTTTTGTAAACAACTCGGCCTTCGAGAGCCTTAGGCTTTTCCCTACGAATGTCTATCATGGAAATACACAAAGCCCTATCTGCTTGTTCTTTTGCAGTGTATAACTTAGAAAATTGGGTAAAAAGTGGGTCCCACGTACTGCTCTTTCAGCTCAGAGTTCACGGTGAAGGGGGCGTCAGCTGAAGTAGTTCGAGATTGCCACATTAACGCATGGGAAAAAGAATTCGATGGCCGCTGACGGCTTTCGTTGAACCCCCCGTACGAGGAGATCCAAGCCGAGCCCCATGGCCATCGTTGTTGCGCGGGATATTAGCATACGACCACAAGCCACCCATTTAATACAATTCCGTCCCCAATCCATTCGTCTTTTTTTCATCGTTTTAAAAGCCGTTCCGGGTAATTTTTACCGCGGGAACCATTCATTACGTCTGCAATTATTCATCGGCTTCCCCTTATTTCCCGATCTCGTCTTTTTTTGTACAGCGAATTGCCTATGCTCCCGGTGACACCCTCGTGATTCTTCTGTCTGAACTTCCACGCATTCCATTCTCATTTTTTCTGACTACAACGTTCTTTATAGCTCCATCAATTTTCAGGAATTCTTCGCCAACGAACGAAGAATGCTGCGTAGATGATGATCTTCCAATTACCTCTTTTGCTCCTGTTCCTCCCACCTGCAGCCTTCGGTGAGCATAGCCATTTGCATTA